CGTCCCTGCCCCGCCACCTAACCTCAAGTTGCTGCATACGCCGCTGGAGCAGGTCACTGCTTTGGCCGGATGGTTCGAGCAAGAGATGAAGCCGCTTTGTGAGGAATACATTGCGAACCCGCCTAGTGACCCGAAGAAGCGGGACTATGAACATAAGAAACTGAGCGAGACGATCCTCGCACAAATCCAGTTGAAGGCGGATGGAATCGAGCCAAATGGTGACGAGGTGGCCCGCAATGCACGTCGGGCCCTCATCAAGGATACGCAGGCGGTGCTCGGCGAGCTGGATAGAATTGCATAGCTGTACCATAGCTCATTAGTTGCCTACTCGGCTCCCCATCTCGCTGTGCATATTGGGGGATTTGAAATTTGGTTACAGACATACGTAGACATGTACAACATGTATCAATCTCATACCGAGGGGCTGTCTCACTGGTCAACTTTCCATTTTGCTGGGACCGGCTCCGGGTGTTTCTTTGCATGGAGGGCATTAGCGTGTTTGTGATATATCACTTTGCGATTTACCTCAAAGACTATTTGCCGCCATGTATACACCAATTTTTTTTATTTTTTTCTTCTTCTTTCTCTTCTTCTTTCTCTTCTTGTTTTCCCTCTCTCTCCCCTGTTGTTTCATGTAAGTATACACTAAGTGGGGGGAAGTTCAAAGGAATACTCCGTATTTTCGCCGTTACTCTCTAGATCAATTTAGCGGCATCTCAAGGTGATCAACATGGTTCAGGGGCAAAGCACGGCCCAGGGCTAAGTTGCGAGAATCCTCAGAGATCTTTTTTAAATTCTGGTCTATTGAAGATTTCGAACGGGTTATTGATTAATATGTAAGATAGACATATGATGCATGTTTGGGAATATGCATTAACAAATACTATATTGTACAAGGTACTCCTTATAGTAGATCCATGTACATAGTCCCGTTCTCCGTAGTGTCGGACTTGGTTTAGGCTATTTCTAGTGCTATTCCTAGTCTGGCGACGACTCATCTCCTTAGACTCTCCCTCTTTTTTCCCTATCTTGACATTCTCTTTTCTATTTTCTATTTTCTATTTTCTCTTTTCCATTTTCCATTTTCCGTTTTCCATTTTCTCTCTATTCTCGAAACTCTCACTCATTTCACCCCCTTACCATATCCATATTGGTACACTCTCCTTGTCTCAACCCCCCGCGAGACCTCGAGGAAAGCCTTCCACAGGCCCAGCCCCTCCCCGCCAGCTCTTATTTGTCGAACCAAACTTGACAAACTGGGAAAAACATCCCTGCAGTGGTCAACCCTAAGGGTCTCTGTTGACAATTTGCTGCTTTCGGTGTGACCCCCTTACACTCCACTTTTCGACTCTACCTGGAATGTCTTGACCCGAAACCACTTTCTACATCTCTACCTGTTGAACCGGGTTACAGCTGGACTGGCCTTTTTCATTTGTGAACAATAACTGGAATGGCGGGCGTCGCTACGGCATATTCTGCAGATGCCTTAGCATCGCCCGTGGATGGCTCGCAATGGGATTTTGCGGTGCCACTTGGCCCCGAGGTAAGATTAGTCCGCGTGGCATTCCAGTCTCTAGCCTGGTAGCTCAAGAACGTGGAAAAGAAGAAAAGAGCGCTGATCCCTTTTTTTCCCCGCAGGAAAGTCACTCACTGAAACAACGCAACTCACACGACTCCAACTCCGTCCGCGCAAAATTTTCTCGACAGCGTACCTCAAACGGCTCACGCAGCTCCTCAGTCTCGCGCAATGTCCACGCACATGAATCGCCCTATTTAGCCTCAAACCGAGGACGGAGGGAACACAGTCTCAACCGACATGGGAGTGAAGTAGGCAGTATGCGAGATGCGTTTGGTAACGAGGCATCCGGTAAAGAACCTGAGGAGGACAATGACGGCCTTAAATTGTACCTGGATGGAAAAACGAACCAGGAAAAATGGATCCACCGAGACAAACTGGCAAAGATCGAGAGTGAGGAGCTCCATCAGGCGGCCATTCTCTTCCAGCGACGGATGAGAGGAGAAAGCAAATCAAGTGCAGGACGTGGGAGGAGCCATGATTCACAGCAGAGCCCTGCTAATGGGACTGGTACCGCGAACTCACCCGCTATAGAATACTCCGAACCCTGGCCGAAAGTGCGGGAAGAACCCGGCAAGCGGGATGTGAATGGCAATGTAGATGACAATGAGCGGGAACACTGGGATCTTCGCCGACCAGAGGAGATTGCCGCGGACGATGCAGCAGCTAGCATCTACAGCCACCCAAGCCTTGGAAAGAGCGCCTCCCGAATACCCGTCTCTACAATTAGTCCAGTTCCCATCTCCGGCGCCATGGGCCGCGATTCTCGCAGTTCACGGAGTCGTGCCGCAACAGATGAAGAAGACCGGTCCTCACGCGGCCGCAGAGCCAGCGAGCCTATCAACGTTGAGCAAGGTGGTTCAACTCCTTCTCCAGAGAGCCGACCGGGCAGCCGCGGATTCAACGGTTCACAAAACACCCCAGGCAAGAAGACAGTCAAGAGCACCGGCTCTACCAACCGAAAGACCTCTGCTCCACCGACAAACAGGAAGGCCAGCGCTCCTCGATCTCGTGCTGTCTCTGGTAACAACACACAACGTCCAACCACCCGGTCAGGTGATAGTCGTCCCCCAACAGCCGCTAACCGGCCCGAAGGAGACCCCCCGTGGTTGGCAACCATGTACAAGCCTGATCCCCGCCTTCCACCTGACCAACAGATGATTCCGACTGTCGCCAAAAAGATTATGCAGGAACAGTGGGAGAAGGAAGGCCGGACACCGAACACATACGACCGCAACTTCGCGCCCCTCGCAGTGCATCCATTCGACGCGCCATCTGTAACCACCAAGGCCGAGCCAGAACCAGAACCAGAACAGCAACCGATTGAGTCCCTACAGCTCGAAGAGCTACCCCCTCGGCCGTCAAAGAGCCCAGAGCCACCCCGTCCGAATACGAGTACCGGCTACAGCACCATGCCAAAGGTGCAGGACACACCCCCAATGGGACTAACACCTAACCCCAACCCTAACTGGAGCCCTCCGGTTGTCACCGCGCAGCAGCCACCGAAGAAAGAGAAGGGCTGCGGATGCTGCATTGTGATGTGACGGACTCCCACTCCGCCATCTGTCCAATCTCTCGCCTATTTCCTCAACATACCATTGATATTTGCACATCTGCTTGATTCCCTTCTCTGTTATTATTTTATTTCCAGCGTCTCCGGCGGGATGGTGTTTTGTCGGTTCTGTTCCTTTATATCCCGCGATCTAGTGCGTTTCTTCGCCTTGAGTTCAATTTTCTTCAGACTGCTTTTTAATCCGGCTTCCTTCTTCAACACCAGAGCATCGCTATTCTTGGTCTTGGTTTTTTTTTTTTTTTTTTTTTTCCTCCCGTGCATCTATTCCTTGATATTTCCCTTCTTTCTTATCATTGCAATTCCTACCGGGATGGTAGGAGGGAACTCCAAAAAGCTCGCCTCAGTGATGGATGGGATGGGAACGAGGGACTCGCACCTCGAAACATTACTTGTGGTGTGCGCCTCGTCCTTCTCGTCCTATATCTTCCTGTGATTTTCTTGATCCTATGATTTCCTTTCCTTTCTCCAATCTCTGGATTTCTCCCTGAAACATCTTTAAAGCCTGTTTTTCCATATTCCCAAGCATTCTTGCTAGCGATTTTCTCCTCTTTCTTTGGTTTGATCGGCCTGTTGGCGAGAGCAGTCAGGTAACTGGATTTGCTCGCATGTTGAATGCTAGATAGTTGCTTACGGAGCCAATCAGATATCAGGTTGAATGGACGAATACATCATATCTACGCAGAATTGCTCCTTGTACTTGTAAGTGTGTAGATACCGCGCCAGCCAGCTGCCTAGTTCAAGACATATCAGAATTGTACTTTGTAGACATCTACGAACTATATAGTTACATAGCCATCTAAACATTACCCAAACAAGAGTCTCGGCCCGGTGCATGCTCCCCCAGCTGACAAATATCACCTGACATCATCGCCGCATTCAATCCCGCAATCTTCACGGAACAACCAACCAATCCTCTCGTCTTTTTACCGGTACCCCGCCCCGAATATCCTATAAAAAGAGACATCGCCTCTTCCCATTTTCGTCACAAACCGCCCACCATTTCGTCCATCTTCACCCGTCTTTTCGGCTCCTTCGCCGGCCCAAATCCCGCCGCCATGTCCGCCGCAAAGACTCGTGCTCAGTCCCTCATTAACGACAACGCTGTTGTCGTTTTCTCCAAGTCATACTGCCCTTACTGTGACTCCTCCAAGAAGTTGCTTGACGGCTTGAACGCGAATTACACTGCTCTTGAGCTGGATCAGGATGGTGAGTCTTTCTATTTTTATTTTTTTGCGTTGCTTCTTGTATTCTTCCCACAAGAAGAGTGGCTTTAGAAATGACTTGTTTATATTTCTGATACATCTTTATGTCTCTTTTCAAAATCAACCGCTAATATGAGTTTACCCACAGCGGAGGGAGATGCTATCCAGAGCGCTCTTGCCGAAATCACAGGCCAGCGCACCGTCCCCAACATCTTCATCAACAAGAAGCACATCGGCGGTAACTCCGACCTCCAGGGTAAGAAGGACCTGAAGGACCTACTCAAGTCTGCTGGTGCGATCTAAGCGATGATGTCACACAAGCAAGAATCCCCCAAGGCGCAAATTTAGAATATAAATTAGATACGGAGGAAGTTTTTTTATTGCACAGCTTCTACCTCTTATCTACCTCCTAGACGTCTCTTGGACTTTCTTTCTTAGGTTTGGTAGATACATGTAATGTGGGCAAATATTTCCATGGCTTGGAGTTGAAGGGATCAGGAGAATCCTGTCATCTTCTAGCATTAGATGCGTATTGAGTGGAGCATTGCCATACAGCTCTGGAGTATTTTGGTAGAGCCAACAGAGGGCAAAAAAATGAACAGCGACTAACTAAGGTACAGGTATGTTAATACAAACAAATAAAACCAAATCAGATAACCTTCTGCACAATAGTGCCAAGGGGCCTCTCAACAATCGACATCAACCCCTCGACAATACTCGTCCGGGCCCCCTCACTCGAAACAGTCTTGCCAGCCAGATAATTCAACCAAACAAGCCGACTAATCCGCTCATCAGCAACGCGCCCCATCCACTTAACCGGCTTATCAGCCCTAGGCTGGAAAAGCGCATCCAAAGCGCCATGCGCATCACGCATCAAAACAAGCGTCTGTCCCTTGGGCACTGACTTCCCCTTCCCAGCACCGAAAACAGCCTTGAAATCATTCATCGAGCTTCCAAAGCTCTCATCCTGGAACTCGCCCGGCTCCGCAGCCTTCTTGGCCTGCGCGCGCGCAGTGATACCACGCACCCATCCGTCGCGCAGATGCATAAAGTCCGTGTTCCGGGTAGGAACGATGCGGAATGCAGTGCGGATGCCGTTATCTTTGATGATCGCCGACCAGGCGGCGTCGCCGCGCTCCGCATCAAGGAGAAGCTCCTTGAGCTGCTGGCGCTCCGGCGAGACGAGGGATGTAGCAGCGCTTGCACCGGCGCCGGAAATGGCAGAGTCCGCGTCGGCGCCGGGGGTGGGCGGGTGGATTGCTGTGCGCAGGAGGCGTCGTTGTAGCTCGGTGATGTCGGATTTCGCGACGTACAGGCCGACTACGTAGACTTGGATCGAGAGGAAGGAGACGGTGCGGATGCCGAGACCGAGGAGTTGGTATTCTTCGCCTGTGGACGGGGCTAGATCGTCGCCGGTTTGCTTGCCTTCTGTTGCTTCGGATGTGGGAAGTCGGATTGTGCTTGGGAAGTGGGGGATTGTGCTTGTTCCTGTTGGCACTTGCTCGAGTCTGTCTTGGCCTTGGATTGTTATTAATGATGGCCCGCCGCTGGTGAAACCGACTGGTCCGTCCATGCGCATTGCGCCGTTCTTCGGGGGTGCGGTTGTGGTCTTGTCATCTTTGTTTGTGTCTAGCTCGTTAAGGCCAAATAGGTCTAGCTTGATGACGCCGTAGAGACCGGCTGCACAGGTAATTATGCCGGCTGCGGAGAGGATCATCTTCCTCTGAGCTTGGGAGGCGTGCTGGAGATCCGCTGCTGCGGATGCTCGGGAGCGGAGGGGGTTATTGGTTGCATTGGAGCGGAGGGACGTGGTGGAGAGATGCCGGGAGGAGAGGCGTGATGTGCGGAGTTGTTGCCGGGTGAGGTTTTGGTAGGCCCGCCATGGGTTCTGACGGAGTGTGGAGGCCATTTTGAGCTCGGTTTATTTGATGAGGAATCTTGAGGGCAGGATTGGCGGGTGACGGCGATGGAGTGTGGGGATGCACGTGATATGGCATGATCTACATGAACCCGTCATGTACCAACATGAATTCGATGGAATAAGATTCTCTATTTTATTTTATTTTTGGATTACTTATAATGATAACGTTTTATTTATCTTGTGCAAATTTTGGTACATCTTGATGATGGTCAGCTAAATGATCAAACCTCTATACAGAAAGGATGTGTATGCAGTATGAGATCCAGATCATTGACTGCGTGAGCGGTTAATATTTATCTGACAACAACCTTATGAGAGCCACCGGTGACTTTGACAGTTGCAGTGCCATCAACATAAGCCACTCCTCTCGTCAACTGGTCACCATCAAAGGTAATCGAAGGCTTCTTCGACGTAGTGACATAGGGCAAAGTAACATCCCCAACAGTACCCTTCGGCACCGAGAAATCCAACACATATCCACTCGAGTTCAAAACCCAAGATGCTTCAAACTTCCCAAGAGAGGTGACAAAGCCAGCCTCGGCAAATTCCAGATCTCCAAATTGCGGCGCAATTTTCCACGTCAATCCTAGTGGCGAGACCACAGAGAGACCGACAACATACTCTGTCAAGGCAGAGGTCGGACCGGAGGACCAGCCGTGCGCATGTGAGACATAGGATGGATCATAGCCATACCCGCGGTCCATTCGATACCCGAAAGTCCCGTTCTGTAGATAGCCCTCAATCACAGTGCTCTCTGTACCATTCGGGTTGTTGATATACCAGCCCCAGCTGCGACGAATGAGTTCCAGTGCGCGTGCAGGTTCGTGGGCAATGAAGTGACTTTGGATTTCGAAAGAGGATATGAACGAGGCAATGTTCTCTGGCAACTCAGGAGCTACAGCCCCTATGGGGGTCCAGTTCCTGAGAAGCTTTTCTGAAATGCTGGCTATGCGCTCTTCGTCTACAACACCGAACATAATTGCCATGCTGTTAGCATCTTGTGGATGCAGAGAGGTCTCAGTTGCATTGTCTTTGAATGCGCCGTACGACTCGTCCCAGCAGTAGGTGTTGATTGCTTTCTTGAGATTGGCGGCCTGGGAGCTCCATTTGGTTGATAGATTGCCCGAGTCTCCAGCCCACAAAGACAGAGATGCTCCTGTCTGCAAGGTATGATAGAGGCTAGAATGTATTAGCTGGAAAGCCCTGTGCATGGTGGATTCACAACATACATCATCTGTGCTTCTGAGTTGTTATAGCCTTGCTGCCATCTCGCCCAGTCTCGCGTGCCTGTTACACTTAAAAGTCCACTGGGATAAGTCACCTTTTCATATATATATTCCATGGCATGCTTATAACTGGCCCAATTCTCCAACAAGAAGTCTGTGTCATTGGTATAAAGCACATATTTATAGGTACCAATCATAGACCACATATGATATGTGTCCGAGTCCTTCTGACTCAATGGCGGCCCAGACTCATCAAATGCGCCTGTTGTCTTGTTCTATATTTTCCAGAACCGTCAGGTATATATTTAAAGGGAACAACAACAGAGCTTACCTGGGTGTTGTACATAATCTGCAGAGCGTTCTTTACACTTTCCAAGTCTCCCAGACTCACAAAAGCCGAAGGAACAGCAATGCCCATGTCACCAGGCCAGACCGCACGATCTCGCTTTGCACCATCAACAATGATCGTTTCTCCTGGCCCGAGAGTTCCATTGTTTACCCATCCAGATGTAACACCCTTTGTAACGCGGCCAGTATTCACAGGGACCTCATTTGTCTGCAGAGTATATGCACCACTGTACCAGATACGATTCAAAAGCTCATCACTGCAGTGAAAGTACCCCTGGTAAGCTCGGAGATTTGACCAAGTGGGCTGAAACGCGAGCTCTAAGCTCAAATCTTCAATATAAACACTTGCCGAATCATTTGTGACCAAGAAGACCGTCAAGTACCGGAATCCACCCCGTAAGTATTTGTCCGGCATGACATATGTGCCATTTCCATTTGAAGTAATATTTGCGTACAACGCGCCGTCATGATATAGAGCACTTGAGGAGTCCGACCATTCTCCAATCCAGTTTTTGGCTTCTGTAAACGCCAGCCCTAGAGCTCCGCTGCCGGTGGAGGTGTAGTCTAGATGGACAATTCCACCCACCTCAATGCCAAAGTCAAATACGATAAGTGAGCCGTTGCCGTGTAATGTTGCTTTGTATGGATGCGAAGGGTGTGTGACAGCCTTAGTTTTCAACTCTGATAAAGTTGAGGCTGGTCGTACTGTTCGCGATGCCGGTGCGTATATATTCTTTTCCCATGGCCCACTGAATGCAGTGGCTGTTGGCCCAGAGCAAGTGGTATTACGCCAGCAAGTGTTTGCAACGGATAGCGAGAAGAGGGACCAAAGAATCAATATCACACCGTGCCAGTATGGTTGCGCCATTGGTGGCTGACTGGAGAGGTAGATATCTGTATATCGTAGCAAGATGGTAGAAAAAGTATAAAATACGGAGAATAGCACGTATATAAATGGTTATGTTGTGCAATAGTGAACTTTGGGGAGTTTCACCGCTGCATATTCGCGATTGGTGGAAGAACCATGGCAAATGATGTTGGTATTTGCAGGATTTGGGCAAGGATCGGCGTAACAAGCACTTAGAAGCCTTTGAAGTCGACATTTTTGCTGCATATTCCATGTAGCCTAATATTTTCCCCGCAGTCAGTTTTCTCCGCAATGTCATGTCGTGGTGTCCGCTCGGTGTAAAGATAACCGAGTGTAACATCGGAAATCCAAGCGAGTGCAGAGTGCTATAGCTAGGTAGATATAAGAAATTATTCTTTACTAGAAGATGGACAGCTGAACAGTCAAGTCTAATTATCGAGGACACCATGCAATTCTTCGGCATTCCTTCCCTGGGCCTCCCCTTAGGGTTGGCGTTGTCAACTGCTGTATATGCAAACGAAAAACACAGCTCTAATGTCTGCACGGTTAAAGCCATTGGGAACCAGAAAGATGATGTTCCTAATATCCTAGAAGCCTTCCACCGTTGTGGTAATGGTGGTAGGATCATCTTTCCAGAGGACCAAGCCTACTGGATCGGTACTCGGTTGAATCCCATTGTAAACGACATAACGATTGAATGGCGCGGAAAATGGACAGTAAGTGGGCTGTCACTATAGCCAAGGATAACGCAACTAATACGAGCTAGTTTTCTGACGATTTGGATTACTGGCGCAATAACTCATACCCAATTGCCTTCCAAAACCACGCCGCTGGGTTCGCTATCACTGGCCAAAATATCAGGATTGATGGGTACGGCACTGGTGGTATTGACGGCAATGGGAATACATGGTACACAGCCGAGAAAGGCGACACGCAACCCGGCAGACCGATGCCGTTTGTATTTTGGAATGTATCCGATGTCAGTGTCGATAATTTCTACATCAAAGATCCCCAGTTGTGGAGCGTAAATATCATGAACGGAACCAATATGCGCTTCAATAACATCTACTGCAATGCGACTGCGGTAGATGCGCCATACGGCGAAAACTGGGTCCAGAATACTGACGGATTTGGTATGACGGTCACTCCATTTCCCTCGCAGCCGACTAACACTGTAGATAGACACAATGGATGCGCAGAATATCCAACTCAGCAATTTCATCTACCAAGGTGGCGATGATTGCGTGGCAATCAAACCGCGATCGTACAATATCGACATTCGCAATGTCACCTGTCGTGGCGGAAATGGGATTGCTATAGGCAGTCTGGGCCAATACCAGGAGGACTCGAGCGTGGCTGATATTCATATCGACAAAGTCAAGATAATCCGATACAACGAGGACATGCACAACAGCGCGTATATCAAAACCTGGGTTGGCGCACTTGTACCACAGAGCTCGTATGAGAGTGCCGGACTCGCTCGCGGCGGTGGCTGGGGCAGCGTTCGGAATGTGTTACTCTCAAACTTCGAAGTCTACGGAGCCAATAGCGGACCTGCTATCACACAAGACAGTGGAAATAATGGCTCGTATTCGGGGACGAGTTTGATGGATATTTCCAACGTCGCATTTGTAAATTTCACGGGCTATATCGAGAGCACTTCGACGAAGGTGGCATCTGTTTCATGCTCAAATGTGCATCCGTGCTACAATATTAATTTTGATAACGTGGTGCTGTATCCCCAGGAGAATGCGACTACGCCGGGGGTTGGATCGTGCAAGTATACAACGGAAGGCGGGGTGCACGGGCTCGACGGATGCTGAACGTCCTCCAAATTATCACATTCACTCTTAAGTCTAAGGAATAAAAACTCTAGAGAATAACATCCCTACTATTTTTTTTTAAGCTAAATAGAGCAGAACTCCGAAGTTCTACGTCAAAACACACATCGAGTTTATGCTCAAGCATAAATCAGACCATAAAGGCGCCCCGCAGCCCCACATGAGCACTTCCCTGTATGACGTTCTCAATGGTAACTATTTTTGTTTGCTTGATCTTCTTTTGACCTTATTTCCACCCCACTGGTTGTCTATCACCAAGCCAAAATGTCAGAGGAAAAAGTTCGACCCGCTTTTGAAGGCCGTGAGCGCCCACTTCTTTCCTATGGCATCGACTTTCCCGCAGCCACAGCACGGCATCTCAATAGCACCTTCCAAGCTTCGCGTGTATATGTAATCTGCTCGGGGTCATTGGCGCGAAATACCAATGTGATGGACCAGCTTGAGACTTCTCTAGGGCCGGATAAGCTGGTTGGTCATTGGATCGGTATGCGGAGCCACACTTTGTGGTCAGAGGTGCTACAGATTGCCGAAGAGGTTAGAACTGTGCATGCTGATCTACTCTTGACTGTTGGAGCTGGCAGCTTGACCGATGGCGCCAAGATCGTTGCATTGGTTGGTACCTCTTTTTTCTTTTATACTCTCATGCGTTCTTTGTTTCTGTTTATATTCTTCTCGCCTCTTCTTATTCTCCCCTGAAAGCTCATA